GATCTGCGAGTGAAACCTTGAAAGGATGGGCTCACGAGGCTAGTGGACATGCACCTAAGATGACAATATCACACCGCTCCATGATTTGTAGTGCAGCTAAAATCTCCGAAGACCCCACACAACCTGGACATGATCTTTTTAGAATTTTTAGATTCAGCTTGATGATACAGAGCGCTATTGTCATAAAAAGCCAGCCAACTCAAAGACGGTTTATTGTGCTGTGCCCAGATTGATACCATGCAGAGTCTATAAATCCCTTCCTGTAACATATTTGCCCTCATAAACTAGTTAAACTGATTATCATGCAAAGATTAATTTACAAGCTAGAACCACTTGCAGCAGACCTGGACTCTGTGTTGAAGATGGAGAATATATGCTTGCTTGACATAAAACTTTTCTCCACATCGCGGACCTTCAGGTTGTCCAGGGGTAGCATGTACTTCTTCTCCTTCTCCTGTGGGAGAGGAAGGAGGACAATAATGAGTTAAAAAAATCTTAAGAAGTTATTACTTTTGCTATGTTCAGCATCAGGCCAGGCAAGCAACTGCAATGTGTGATGCTAGGTGAATGCAAGGGAGAGAGATTGGAGCACGCAGGAAAGAGTGAGGGGTGATGTAAAGGGAGGAGGAATGGGGGAGATATGAGAGTGGGAGGTAAGGCAGGAGCAGAGAAAAGGGAGAATGAGAACACATGTGGAAGTCATTACAGTTTGGGTCAGGATGCAGTCGTTCTTCATGGTGCGCTTTAATGCAGAGTAGCGCTAGTAGCTAAAACCCAAGGAAAGTCTGGTTGGGGGTTAAGATGTGGGGTGGGGGGGACTGCTGATAGGTAAAAGCTACGGCTGTTGAGAAAAACCTAAGCTCAAACTCAGCTAGACCCTACCGAGGCCCAGGCTCAAGTAGATAAAGAGTGGAGATCCTTACCCTTCAGTTTACACTTTATCCCAGCCTACACTTCTTAACTCTGCCTGTCTGTTTTCTTTTATCTCAATATTTTCTCTATATTTTTTTCTCTCCATTCCAAAGGGGCCCACTTCCTGCCCAATTTTTTTCTTTTTTTGTTCAGGGAGGGAGAGAGAGCGAGAGAGATTAAATGACAGCCTGCCGTTAAAACTCAACATCTGGTAGTGCTTAGCAGCACACAGAGAAGCGGGGAAAGGAGGGAGAAGTTAAAGAGACGGCGGAGCGATAGAGGAGGTTAGAGGCTGAGGAGAGGAACAAGAAAAAGAGACACTGAGGCCGATTCAAATAAAGATCTACAAAAGAAAGCCTGGCGGTCTGGAAAGCTGAGGTTTACAGTCACAGGTAAGATTCAGAGGTTATGGAAGAAGAACTCTACGGAAACTTCAGGGTTGGATTCCCCAAGGGGTCACCACGGTCCTTATATGGTCAGCCGGGACCCCTCCCTCTTCCTCTCCCTTTTTTACAACCCCTCCCTCCTGAGCGTCTCTCTTCCCTCTTTTTTTTGTAATATCCCCTCCCTGAACGCACAGCCAGTGTGTCCCAGTCGTCTGAGCGAATGTGCCACGTCAAGGCTGGATACTCTTCATGGCCGGCGTGACCTGAAACGGACCAGTCCAGGACGCCCCGACCTAAACAATTAAACAGGCCGGGAAAGGCTTCCAGAAAACCAGAAGCAGCAGACATGGATGAGGCATACCGCTACGTTTCGATAAGGGTTTTGGGGATCCTTTTCTGCAGGAGCGGAGAGAAGGGGGCGGCAGGGAGGGTGCCGACGGCAGAGTTGTCCTTCGAGCATCTGGAATGGCAGCACACAAGGCCTGGCTCTCCACCCCGGCTCCGTCCACCCAGTGTTCAGACTACCTGTTCATTGTCATACTGGTGTACAGTAGTCTGCACATTGGTTAGACTGGGCACGGACCATCTTCTGTCAGTCTGTCTTACTATGTGTCACACTGTTTTTCAATATATGCTTTTTTTTTCATCTGTGTCTGAGGTTTCAACCTGATTCCTTCTAATCTTTGTCCAAAGAGCACTCTAACATTCACTTGCTTCCTGCTTGCTAGCACTTTGCAGAATAAACTTGTACCACCAGTTTTCTCACCACTAACTGGAAATCTTGCTATGTGCATACCTTGGTTTCAAATCAATGCTCGGAGCATAAAAAAGAAAGCAAATTCACATAAATCATTGCATAAATGAGTGAGCATACAGTCACTCTAAAGATGTGGTTGTCTGGAAGGGAGGGGGAGAGTAGTGAAACCGGCAGCAAAGCAGTGAGCCTGGGCCAATATAGCAAAGGACCAATCAATCAAGTTGGGTTTTAAGGTACGGTGAGACACCCTCACAAAACTTATTTCTATGGGTGGCCTAAGCCTTAGAGGACACTTGCGTATGCTGAGTTGTAACAGATCTAATAAAAGCAAAAACTGCACAGACTAAATTAAAACACACATAAAGGAGTAGTTTTAGCTAAAGCACTGTTCCTGCAAAAGATTAAACAGTTTCAAAGCAGTGCCTCTTCTCCATGAAGTTTTGGAGGGAGGTGAAGTGAAAGGTATTGATTTCTTTATAGAAAGTCTTCTCCTCACTAAAATGCTAGCCAATGATGTTTAGGTTGAAAACGCTCCAACCAAGAAGTTCCAAAGTAACTGCCAACTTCATTAATACAGGGAGGAGGGAGGTAACATCGGCATACGTGCACGTGTAGGCAACCATAGAAAGTTCAAGAGGGTGTAAAACAGAAATACACAAGGCGAAGCGCACAGAGTCTGTAATTACCAACATTACCGCACTAACGTCTCGGATGGCAATCCGTGCGGCCCCCATGTGCCGTGCCGTCTGAGGGCTGAGTGGGCTGTCATGTATTTTGGGTGACTGCGAGAGTGAGCATTTGGTCGGGATTGGGACTGCTCCAATTTTAGTGAAGACGAATTGAATGGCTAAACTCCCAGTGGAAGGAGGTGTGGAGCAAAGAAACAAAAACGAAGAGGGAAACTCCAGAAAATGAGAGAAAGTGCATAAAGAGCACAACGCGATAACATTAACATTATGAAGCAGTCACAAGAAACTGAAATCGGTTTTATTCAGAAACTCATTACAGCGTAACTTTCTTGGGAATTCATGGTAGCCTTTTAGCATCTCCTAAGCAACAATGCAGCATCAAAACCATCTGACCGAAAAAGCTGCCGTGTGTCTGCCTATCTACACTTGCTGTGCAGAATGTCCTCCAACCTGTACAGCAGGCACAGACAGGCAGAGAGACGTCAGCCTGCCACAAAGAGCCCAGCACGTCTGACCAAATGCTGCATCCTGTTGATGCACGCTGTCAATGATGGAGTCCTTTAATTGCCAAACCTGTCATCTTTGAGCAGTGTAAAACATTTTCAAAATTAGCCTGCTTTATCAAATATTTCAATCATCCCATATGGAGACTTTAAATATGATGTTTATGTTTATTATTATTTGCTGTATACTTAACTTTGAAAGGGAAATTATGCAGTAGATGGATCTTCTTTAGGTACTTCATGTGTCCAAATCCGGTGCTTTTTCTTTTGCAAGGCTTTACTTTAACATCAGGTAGTCACATTAAATGCAAATACATTACATGTTGCATTCTATATATGTGCTTCACATAGGAAGCTCTTTGGTGGCCCACCTCCTCCACCTCCTCCTACTTATGGCTATGTCCTGTGTAAATAATCTTCCTCTTCCCTGTCCAACACAAACACAACGACTGTCATAAAACAGCAGTTTTTGAGATCAGAGCCATTTTTTAAAGACCCTAGACGTCCTCTATGGTCTTTGCTCCATTATCTTCCACCTACTTAACCTACTCCTCAAGGTTCATGCTGATGAAAATCCAGTTATCTCCAGCAAATACCAGAAATGTTTTAACATTTTAACAGAGCTTCACTTCATAAATTGCCAACTATCTCATAAGCACGTTGGAGTTGGTTTAATACTAATACTAGGCTTAAACTTTCATAAAGACAAGTTAATTTACTAGGGGTGAATTAACCTGATGATTATTATAGCCTTAGTGAACTAACAGGCTGCTTCAAACTTACCTCATCATCCTTGAACCAGGAGAGACTCTCAGCAGTCAGCACAAACCAGTACTCCTTGGCTCCTCCTTTAATGATGCTGATGTTGTTGATGGTCAGCCACCCTTTACGGATAACCTAAGGTGGAACGTAAAGCCAAAATACTTCATTAGGAAACATGGGATATTGTCATCTGATCAGATGGAGGACTTTTAATGTGTGTGAAGGTTAAATTGGTTGTAATTACATGTGTCTGTGCTGCCTCACACTGTGCTCAATGAAAGATGCATCTCTGCAACATGTTTAGTGCTTCAAACCTACGATAAAGCGTGTGTGTGCCTTTCAAAACAAACTGTCCGATGAGTCCAGTGCCAAGGGATTACTGGGTTAGATTACTGTCAGACCTGCACTGCCTAAGACTGACTAAGCAGGTTACCCACATCTTTATTAAATCTCTTTCTCATGGCTGCTAATAATAAAGGTGAACAATAGAGATGAAATGAAAAATTAAAAGACAAAATAATTAAATTAAAATATTTCCATGCATGAATGGGTGGGTTAAAGACACCATACAGCATCTTCTTTTTCTTTTCTTTTTTAGTACAAGTTAAAGAAAGAGTTTCTGCCCCACTGCAGTTAGTGAGCATCCCTAACATGGCAGGTAGGGAAACAAAAGCAGTGCTGGAGAGCACCACACACTGGGAAGGAGCAGGACTGCAGGCAAAGATGACATTGCAAACCATGACCCACAATGAGTGATACTCACCAACAGAAACCCTTGAGAGGGTAGCTGAGATTCTCACTAAGGGATGGGGATGAAATGCAAGGTGGCACCTTTATGACACAGGGAGGGTTCAAACAAAGGGAAATGTCTCAACAACAACACCAGGTATGATGGTGGCAAAAAAAAGTGATGCTTAACAAAAATAAAAACAAAATAAAAAACAATGTTCACTAGAGATGCACCGATTACAGAAAATATTTAGATTTGTTGTTAAGCTCTGATTTCTCAAATCTGATTGTCAACAATTATCATTAAGATCTATATAAATTAATTTTAAGAAAATACCTTTTTTAATGGTGGATTATTTGAAATTATTTAACAATGAAATGTAAAATTAAAATAAAAAAAAATTTCTTCAAAGTAAGATTTCTTTCTCTGCATCATAAGTAATGTAAATAGAGTTAAATCTTCCAGGTTTTGCTTCAAATATATCTACACTGGAAAAAATCAAAATCTAGAAAAGTTATTTTTTCTTAAAATAAGTGAATTTTTTCTTAGATTGAGGAGGTAAAAGAGACATTTTGCCAATAGACCAAGACAATTTACACTTAAAATAAGAAAACACAACTGCATTGTCTTATTTTAAGTGCATATTATCTAATTATCTTATTTTAAGAGTAAAACCATTCATGCTATTGGCAAACTACCTCATTTACCTACTCTAATTAAAAGTAAATACACTTAATTTAAGAAGTTTTTACTTATTTCTAGATCATTTTTCCAGTGATAAACTGACTTAAAAAATTGAGCTCTTGGTTGCTCCTTTAAAAAAACAAATAATCCTTTAATAACTAACTAACCATTTCTGCACACATCTAAAAATAACCACTATGACAGCTTTTCGTTTAGAAAGATCTTTTCAAAAATGAATAGCAACAGTTATTAATGTTATACTGGAGCTTTCTTTACACTTTCATGTTAGATCCTTTTGTTTATCATAACTGTACAAACTTTTTTCTTTGACGGATCACTTATTATTTATATCAGGATCAGAGGCAGTATCACCCGATGCAGTAAAGCACAGAAAATATTATTAACAAGTTACGATCTTAAAATCTTTTATGAGCAATCAGCAAGGTTACATTACTTGTAAAGTACACAGGCCCTATCTGTACTTGTCACACTGAATAGGATTGCAAAATTTCCTAATCCACATTGACTAACTGAAAGATCAAATTAGATTTACAAAAAGGAAAAAGTAACTTATCAACTTAGCTTTCTATTAACTAAGTGTCTTTCCCAGTTGGAACAAAGCATAAAAATCAGAAACTCATTTCTCGATGCATCTCTACTGTTCAAAACTGGTGACTAATTAAAACATTAATGCATGCAGAAAAATGATAAATATAAATCATATTTTACTGTTGAAACTATATTTGTGAAATGAATACAATCATAAATTTAAAGCTTTGCAAATAAAGCAGAGTTTTTCTTGCTGTATTCCAGCTTAGTATATTCTGTGCAGCAGCCATATCCGAGATGTGTGGATGTGCACAGCAGCTTTGACCTGGTGCACCACCGTTTGTATTGTGACACGACAGACGTAGAACACACTCACCTGATTTCCTGCTGAACTCTGGCTCTTATTAGTTTGACTGCTCCTCTGCTGAGCGCTGCAGCGTGGAAACAGCCACAGATACAGAACAAGGAGGTGAAAAGGGTGATGGGAAAATCAGAACAATAAAGAGAAAGGAGGGGAAAAAGGTAGATAGAAAATCTTTTAACAAATGAAATTTTAGTTATTCTGTAAACCAGATAGTTAACATGTGAAATAAAAGTAAATATGTTGAAGATTTACCTAGCGAAGCCAATGAAATCCTCATGATTTGTGTTTATGTAAGAAAGCTGCAGATCAATCAGCAGCAGAACCTGAAAGACACAAAAAAACATCTATAATGAGACCTTAATGGACACAAATTAAACGTTTATTTGCTGGTTTACGCTAAGCACTAGCTGCCAGTCATGGTGTCCGAGCAACTTGAACTGACAGTCTAAAGCAAAGACTAGGACTGAGCTCCTCTTACCTCAACCTGTTGCTGCTAACTAGTGTTTATTTCCACACTGTCGCAAGATAAACAAGGGACCTTATCTCAAAAGATTGTAAATATAGTTTGCTAAATATATATTTTTTTAAAAGCAAGTGCAAAAGGATGAAATTAAAGGGTATGTTAAGGTTTTGTCTTGAAAGATTGCATAAACAATGGATAACAGGTGCAAAACCAGTTATTGTATAAAAGAAAGATGAGGTTCTAAGCCATGGATGAGTGGGTTATAATCATGATTATAATTAAAAAAAAAACATATACATAACTATATTTAATATTCAAAATGTTAGTATGTATCTCAAAGTGGTATGAAGAATAGTAAAATAATAAAGAGATGAAGTTGATCAAAGATAAAGTTAAAAGATTATATATTAATCATGAAAGCTGGGAAAGCATGTACCAGATGCACTATCCAGTTTGCAAGAGCTTTTATTCATTCAGACATTTTTAAGGATAAGACTTAGATTTGGTTGCTTGCCATCTGTAAGAATAGTTAAGGTCCTTTTAAAATAAATTTGTAATTTTACTATTACCCCTCCGCGGTGACTGCATCCTGGGCACCAGAGCAATCAGCCTTAGTATCTAACTATAAAATATAGTAAAGACATTTGCTTAAAAATAATCTTCTTTATTCAGATGCTAGTTCTGAATAAAGAAGATTACAACAGTGTGTTTATACAAAAATTAGCATTTTATACGGTTATAAAATGCATGATTTCATATAAACAAATATACACACTTGTGGAAGACCTATATTAACTATAATGTGCTATAGATTACATTATCTTTCTGAAATTAATCCACACATTTAATATGTTTTGCAGCAGTACACTTCAAAAATTGAAATATAAACTAGTCACTTTTTCTTATAATAAGTGAATTCTATCTTGAATTGAGAAGGAAAGTGAGACACTTTGCCAATGGAACAAGACAATTTACATTTAAAATAAGAAAAAACAATTGCATCATCTTATTTCAAGTGCATTTTTTCTAATTATCTTATTTTAAGAATAAAAATATTAATTCCATTGGCAAATCATTGTATTAACCTGCTCAAATTAACAGTAAATACACTTAATTTAAGAAACTTTTTCCGATGTTTGGAGTGTTTTTGCAGTGTAGGACAGTTTGTTGAATGTTTTCCTAAATACCATAATATTTACTGGGCATCATATTATGAATCTGTGGTACTTTACTGTGAGACGTTCATTCTGCAGCTTCAAAACACAGCAGGCTAAAACTGTTTCCTGTGCTAGCTAAGGTAACCTACAGCATATCTGATCAGATATTAACCTGCAGCTTTAAGTGAGCCATGTATCTAAGAGTTAACAGGATCAAAGTAGATGTATTTTTATTTCATCACTGTCATGTTACAGGAATCAGTGACTCTAGCTGCTTTTTATTTCTAATCTGCACTATTAATGTGTTAAATATTGCATGAAAACAGAGGCGTTTTTACCTGCTCCTTGGCACGACTCTCTCTGTCTCGAATGTGAGAAGTGACGATCCTCTCAGTTTCCTCTCGCAGCCTTGGGAAGCATTCCAACTGGAAATAAAACACAGCATATAGAGCATCCACCGAAGACAAACAGAAAACTTTATTTTTAGTTCCCCCACATTTTTTCATTCCAGTGTATAATGATTTTAACCCACTAAATTACCAACAATAAACTCTATGTAGCAGGGGCTACCTTGTTGGAGCACTGACGGACGGTATTGATCAGCTCCTGGATGACCATGTCCACACATTTGATGCATGGCTCCTTCAGCTTCACAACCTGCTTCTTCACTATAGCCTCAAATGCCATATCAGGGGTAAAAAGCCCAGTTCTGAATGAAAAAAAGACATGATTTCATTGTTTCTTTGTTGCATATTAGCAGAATTGAATATATTTTACTAAGAAATGTGGCCAGCAAGCTGATGGAGGCTAATGAGAAACCCTTACCGGATACCATGGATGTTCTTGATGGCATAACTGATCTCACGCCGCATCTCCTTCTCATCACACTCCATCTGAAGTAGAGAAGAGAAAGCAGGAGATCCAGACGATGCAGCGAAAAGAAATGTCTTCTAGCTTCACAAAAAGTACTTTTGCTATGAAAGTCTCCTGGCCTGTATGTTTTTGTAGCTTTTTTTTTGTAGAGAATTATTTAAAAAAATAAAAGCATTTTTTTCCCACATTGCAGTTTTGTATAAATCAGGAAGTCATTAAATGTAAATTATATTTTTTTACAAAAAAAAACATTAACCCAGGAAGCTGGTCTACTGCAGCTAATGGCCCTAGCCTCTCCATTGTTTTAGGAAACTGCAAAAATATAAATGAAATAAATATTAAGTGGCTCAAAATACATTTATTGTAGAATCTTAAGTAGTGAGGTAAGATGAGTAAAAGACCTCAAAATTCTTAAAACTTTTATGGCAGATTGTTCAAATCCTATTGTTATTTTAAATCCCGTGTTCAGTGACATTTGCAACATGTATTAGCAGCCTTTACAACTTTCTTTCACTAAAAGGCGAGCACTTTTAGTGCCTTTGTCTGCTGGATTTAAGGTTCCAGCAGACAAAGGCACCATTCCACTCTAAGTCACAGGTGTCAAACTCCAGTCCTCAAGAACCAACGTTCTGTATCTTTTGGATGCGTTTATGCTACAACTAGACTTCATCAAACCACTAGGAACTATTGAGGTAAAGTTTGTTAGCGGTCAGCATGATAAGTGCTGTTCAGAAAGTCCTGGAAGCATTGGTCAGTTTAGATCAACTTTAACAGGTGAACCAAGGGTTGTTTGGTTTTCATGAGGGCAAAGGAAAAGAAAAAAAAAAGGGGCAACATTTAACAAAGCCATAATGCCTCTTCAGACTTTGGAGCTGCAGCTTGCAGATCTAGAAGATGGAAACTATGATTCAATTTAATATGCTTAAAGAAGTGTGACACCTTCATTTCCAAATTATTGGTAAGGTAAGAAATTAAATTGGTTCAAGCAAACTGTCAACCACAGTTTTCTGTGCAAGCACATATAATAAGAAAAATTATATAATATTATATCTACAGAACAGGGACCATAAGAGTAGCCAGGACCAATTCTACAGAAGGACTGGCCCTTGTTGCCCCCATCTAGAACCACCCATGGCTGGTATTGAAAAAGGAGGCAGCAAAAGGAGAAGGATACTTCCTAACAATAATTCACTTAACATAGCCTCCTAAAGTTCCTTTCTGATACTTAAGAGTGACTGATTCCCACAATCCACACAGGAAAAAAATCGAAATCTAGATAAGTTGTTTTTTCTTAAAATAAGTGTATTTGTTCTTGGATTTAGTAGGTAAAAGAGAGATTTTGCCAAT